TTGCTGGGTTCTCCACTCTCTCAGGCCCTGGGCCTTCTGTGTCTTGTATGATGGGGTACCTGGGGTGGATGGGGCAGGGAGTGATGGGGAGGTCCCATCCCTGAATGCCCAGGACCAATGTAAGGCTTTTCTGTGTGCCTTTGGGGTAAGTTACTTATTCCCTAAGCCTCAGTTATACTATTGACAAAACAGAGATAGTGCCAGGCATGAGGTGTACACCTGTAATTCCATCAGCTCAGGAGGTTGAGGCAGGAGATCACAAGTTCAAAGCCAACCTCAGCAACTTAGTGAGGCCCTGTCTCCAACAACAACAACAAGAAGCCAGGTTGAAGGATGTGGCTCAGTGCTTAAGCACCCCTGGGTTCAACCCCTGGCACCAAAACAACAACAAAAACAGAGAAAGCGATAGATAGCTTGCAGTGTCCTGTTAAGAGCAAATGAGATTATGGAGGTGAAAAGAATGTTGCAAGCTATAAAGCACTTTGTGCAAGGGGTGGCGTGTGGCACTGACACACGCTGGTGGTCCAGCCTCCCGAGGGTGGGCAGCTCCCTTTGGCATGATCCACTTCTTTCCACAGAACTTCCTGTCTCCTCCAAGCAGCTCCTCCCCTCCCCCAGAGCTCTCTGTTACAGTTTAATCCACCTAATTGAAAGACTGCTGGATCAGGCAAGGAATTTATCAAAGGAAGGAGAGGAGAGCCTGGTGCCACTTGGCTCCTTGCACACTTGTCCTTTCAAATCCTTGTAGATAATTCCATTTGTACAGTAGGAGCAAGGCTGGGATTTTGCAAGACAGGAAGGATTGGGAGGAGAAAAGAGAAAAGAGCTGGGGAAGGGAGGGATGAAGGCCAGAGACTAGAAAAAGCTCTCGGGGCTTAAGGGTGGACTGGTCTGGGGCTCTCTTGGGCAGGACAGGCGTTGGCAGCCACAGGGAACAGCAGGGGCAGAAGTGGAAAGGCTGAGGGGGAACTGCTGAGCAGGAGAGGGGAGGTGATGCCAGGCAATTATAGCTGCTTTGCCTGCCAGAGACAGAGGCTCTGACTGCACTGGAACCAGCTTTCTGACGTGCCCCATATTGCACAGAAATCGGCATAACTCTAGGCCCCAGTCACTGTCTGAATGTATGTGCCACCCCACTCCACTCACATGCTAAAATTTAACCTCAAGGTCATAGTATTGAGGGGTGGGGTTTTGGTGGATGGTTAAGTCAAGGGTGATTCAGTCTCCTGAATGGATTAACGGCTTTATGAAAGCCATCTGAGGGAGCTCGATGGCCCCTTTTCCCTTTCGAGTTGCAGCATGTGGGAATGCAGCGAGAAGTTGCTATCTATTAGGAAGAGATCCTTACCTATTCCAAATCTGCTGGTATCTTGATCTTGGACTTCTAGCCTACAAGACTGTGAGTCATAGATTTCTATTTTTTGTAAATTACTTAGTCTAGTGTATTTTGTTATAGCAGCATGAATGGACTGAGATGGTATACTTCTCCAAAGTAGGAGGTGGGGAGAGGGAAGGGTGGCAGAGGCTTGACCAGAAGTTTCTCTAGGAGGATCCAGCTGAACTTGATAGAATGAAGGCAGAGCGTCCAGGGGAAGGAAGTGGAGACTACAGCACTGAAAGAGAAACAGAATGGATGGGAAATGGCAGGGAGTAAAAGGGTGAGACCACATTGACAATATGGTGGGTGTGATTCTTAAAGAATTACTGGAGGTTATTATTAATTATATTTTCATGGTGAATAGTTGAATCTTCAGGAGTGGCAGATGAGTGGGCTTAACAGAAAAGCTGGGGCAGGCAGGAGCAGGGCAAGAGGAGTGGGCCAAGAAGGGGACACTTTACACAAAAATTCCTCATGAGGATGTACTCATGCATTCCTGCACCCCATGTGCCCTGGGTGGTGTGGACATACAGAGAAGAAAGGCATATCCCTGGCTCCAGGAGGGAAGGCCTATGAGAACAGTGTGGCGAGTCAGTGCTGGAAGGGACTGTGAGCACTATCCTGTGGGAATCCTGGGGACACTATGATTGATCTTCTGACAATGGGGCAGGTGCCAGGACAGGATTCAGAGAGAAGGTAGCATTGCTTCTCTCGAGAGCCAAGAGATGGGTTTTTAGGGTGCTGATATAAGTTAGAACTTGTCAGCAGAAAGGATTCTCACAATAGCTCATCTTCATTCATATCTCCAATTCACAGAGGGTCACAGTGAGGCTCACCTAAGGTGACATAGATCATGCCTTTGACACCTCCATCCAATAATCTCTGTTACTGGGCCCTTTTGATAAGGGGGTTTTTGTGGCAAACAAGGAAATATCAGGACCTTGGACAGGTCCAAAGGGGTCTGTGGGAGGCACATGTGTCTGATGATGTGTTGGAATTCAGGATTGTGGTCAGTAAAGTACCTTTCCAAAACCCAGGGACCTGTGGACTGGACATTACTATTCGTAAGACAATATGATTTAGGGTACAAAATGAATCTGAACTCAGACTACTGGACTGGCCTGTGACTGCCATGTTTAGAGACAGTTCCTCTCAAGCAGAGGGGATTGAAAAATGTGTTTCTAGGGGTCTTCAGGGCAATTTGTCCCCATCCAAGCATAAAGACCTTGTAAATGCAAATATATTGGCCAAGAAGAGATGTATCACCCGTAAACTATGTTTTGATGAAGGAGTGATGATTGAAAAGGTCTAGAGCAAAGACTGCTGCCCAGGAGGGATGGGCTGGAGATGTGTCAGATTAAGGGCTGAGAGATGGAGAGTACACAGCCAGGGCTGTTTGCTGTCTTTCTGGGGCTTCACAAATGCTTGGTGGCATTTGAGGGACCACAAGAGAGGGTCAAGGGCAGGTGGGGTAGGGGTGGGAATCACTAAAGACGAACATTATAATTGGGCTTCTGGCAGAAACTCTTCTGAAGGTTAAGTTAGAAATGGAAGTCTTGGTCAGTGAATTCCCCACTCCTGAGAAATATGTAAGTGAGACGGATCATAAAAAGACACATACCCAACAAGACATCAGGACAGTGAGGAATGGACGCACACGTGTGCAGGCATTACTGACATGCCCGGGAGTATATCAAATGCACTTCTGTGTCCACACATCTGCTCTTGGCTGATCAACATGGGGTGGCCTCTGAAGGCTGAGAACGGTGATGATGGTAATTCCAGCTAGCTGCCTTATATATAATTATTTTTAAAATTTAATTGATAAAAACAATGCATGTTTATAATTTTAAAGTTAGCATTAAGTAAAAACATCACAAGTCAACACTACTCCCCTCCAAATCTTTCAGTTCTTTCATCCAGAATCTATATAGCTCATATTTCTTCATAATATTTTTAGATAGTTCCTGCTGGCTTTATTAGTTTAAGGTGCCATCTTTTGACTTCTCAGTCTATGAAATTTTCACTCTTTTAAAAATTTTTCATTAGTCCATTGTAATTATACAAAATATTGGGGGTCATTGTGCAATATTTATATATTCATATCATATAATTTGTTCCATTTAATTCCCCAGTACTTTCCCTTTCCCTCTCCTCCTCCTCTGTCCCCATCTCCTTCCTTGTATCATATTTTAAAATTCCTCCTAAAAATCCTGAGAAGTAGAAAATATTCTTTCCATTTCTCAGGTGAGAAAACAGAGGCATAGAGAGGGTTAAACAACTTGCCTAGGTTATTCTGTTGATGGGACCAGAGCTGTGACTTCTCACATCCAGATTTTCCAATTCCAGGTCAAGAGCCCCTTCTACGGCAACTCAAATGAAGCTGGTGATCACAGCACCCCCCAACCTATGGCCTAGAACAACTTCTCCAGGGCAGATGGAGAGTCAGACCAATGTATTCAGCAGGGTTTCTCTTAATAACACTGGCATAGTTAGAAGGCTAGATCAGTGTGTTTGTAGTGACACCTCCTCTCTTAGCCATGTGGTCTTGGGCAAATCAACCTGTGTTCAGCTGCAAAATGGGAATAGCAAATTTAACCCATCAATTGTGTGGAATAAGAGGATACATGTAAATGACCTGATAGTGCACAGAATTATAGAGAATTCTGTTTACCCTGAATGTCAGAATCTGCCCTTTTCCTAGGGAAGAGATCACCAAACGGGTGTAGTGCTGAGGGGCAGGGGAGTGCCCCCGCCTTGGAGGAATGTCAGCAGAGGAGAGGTAGCAAGGGGACCCTAGAAGGCCTTTGCTGATCTAGGAAGCTGACCTCTTTCAGATCCAAGGGACCTTGTCCATGGAGGTGCAAGGCAGGACTTTGTGGAGATACCCCTTCTGGTGGAGGCCAGCTCCCTCAGCAGCCACGGGGCTTTCAGCAGTCAGACTGGTTTTGTGGCCAGAACCCTAGGGTAGGGCAAGAGACCCCCAGGTTTTGCTTGGGGCTCTGTCTTCAGTTCCCTGCCGTCAGCAGGAAAGACACATGGCGGCTGCGTGGGCACCGGTGTGTGTGAGGTGATTACCCCTTTAATGTTTAATGTGCTGAAAAACCATTAGACCCCGAAATGGACAAGTTCTCCATTGGTAACTTTAATTATTGTTAAGACTCGGTCATGCCTGCTTATTAGCAATTATGCATGGCGTCTCCCAGGGTGCTGTGGGCCTTCTGCCTTTCCTCCCTTCTCCTGAGGAGAGCAGATTTGCAAACTGCTGCATTCATTTCTTCCTCACAAGTGGCTCCTGTTACTCTCTTCTGAGTCTGGCCTGGCTTGGGCCTGAAGAGGACTTCAGGGAGGAGGGGGAAGGGCAGCCCAGCATAAATTGGGAGGAGCTGAGGCCGGGGTAACTGTGGTAGGATGCCCTTCACAAACACTTCTACTTCCAGGGTCTCATTTCCTTCTATCACATCATTACCCCCATCTGATAGATGAGGAGACTGAGGCTTGCAAAAGTTGGGTAATGGTACAGACCACTCAGAGGCCTGCTCAGCCTCTCTTCCCTTGGGCCGGACAGCTGTGCCAATCCCACATGATCTCAAACCCACCTCTCCTCTCTCCATCTCTGTAGCTACCTGAACCAGGTGGGACCCGTGCCGAGCTGGAACTAGTAAATTGGGACCCAGTCAACTGGATGGTGGGCCTGGGAGATGATAGAGAACAGGTAACACACCAGAGATGGAGAGAGGTGGGGGAGGGGATGCGCTCTCCATCTCTCAGTTTCCAAGAGATACTCCCTAAGGCCCCCCGTGGCTGGCCTGGGACTAGCTCTGGAGTCCCTTCAGACTTCAGCAAAGTAGGGTTCCCTCTGGAAAAATGGGGTCACCCCTCATCTCAAATCACTGGCAATGCCCCCACCCCCTGGGCACTCTTCCGCAGGGGCCACCTCTTTCTCCTGCCACCCTTTACCCAATCTAGGACGCCCTAACTGTGGGCTCCGCTAGGCGATGGCCGAGGAGAGCCAGGTGCCAGCAGCCCTGCTTCTGGCCCTGACTGTTAAGAAGCGGAGAGAAAAAACAGCAGGAAAAAAAGTGAACATGAGTAATGGGCCTGGAATGAGGCGTACGAGATAACACTGAATAATAACACGTCAAAAACTACAAGATGTATTTTTTTATTTCCCAGTGGAGTTTCCATTGCGCTAATCCATCACTGTAGAGCAGGCAAGATTATGCTTCCCCCAAAAAAACTCTGGGAGATAAATGTGAGTAAATTAGGGTTTATTATATTATTTGGGGTGATATAATTTCCAAGCGGGCCCTTATTAAATTACTTCCTCTGGTGCTGACACCTCCTGCCTCACGGTCCCTGCACCTTGGCTCCACTTTCCCTGACTGAAGTATTTTAATGTCTCCCATCAGCTGTGGGTGGGGGGAGCTGGAAGGAAGTGCTGAGTCACCGCCAGCCTTTGGGGACCAGCTGCTTCCCTGCTGGCCCTCCATGACCGGAGCCTCAGGCCCCCACAACACCAATGCTGAAAGCACAAGGAGAGGCCCAGTGTACACCTCATAGATGGGGAAACTGAGGCCTCAGGAAGAAATGGGACTTGTTTTAAGTCACACAACTAGGGAGGGGCAGAGTTGAGACCCAGGGCCTGGGTGTTGATGGCCAGGCCGGGTTTGTTCTCTGTGAGGGCTCTCTTTTTGTTGGTGGGTCTTCTTGGCTTCAAGGCAGCTCCAAGTCTAACCTCAGAGGCCCATGGAGTTTAGGGGTCTTCAGTCATCTAATCTGAGATCTAACCAGTGACCCGGAGGGAGGTGTGTGAAAGAAGACCTATGATCCCACCTTGACTTGATCGAAGAAGACTGTGTGAGCTTAGGTGAGTGACTTGACCTCTCTGAGCCTTTCTAGTAAGTATACTTTGTAGCAAAAGGGCTTGTCACAGATTAGTGATTTTCAGATATATTCGTTAGCAGTAGGGCCTTTTTCTAAAAAATGAGATTGCGTCCAATGAATGCTAACATATAAAATATTTGAATGAGGAGTTATTTTGATTGAAGAAAGGAACTGGGGGCTGGAGCCGGGTGAGAAAGAGGGCTGGTTTCACCACTAACCTACCTTCCAGTTCCCTTCTTTTTCCTCAAACCAGCTTGAAACTCTGGGGCTCAGTTTCAACGTCTCACCCTGACTCTGCCCTGCAATGCCCTCCTTGCACCCCCACCAAATCTCCAGGGATGGATTCCAGCATCTCCTCCAGCTCTGAGGGTCTCTGGGCAAACTGCACGTGACCATCCACACAGCTCTCTGGGCCTCAAGAAGCACGGTTCAGTGGAGCTCAACGTCGTGAGCTGTTTTGCTGTTTACTACTGTGTGACTTGGGAAAGTTCCTATTATTTTAAATCTCTCTGTTCATCACCTTTAAAATGGAATAATAAATAAATTCGATCTCATAAACGTGCTCTCAGTTGTAGCTACTGTTCGCCTTAGGAATTCTACCACGTGGGTATGTTTTGCTGAGGGTTATAATAGGTGAAGGACGCTATTCCAAGGCATTTGATGCTTCACAAATGGGTAAATGCCAACTTGGTTTGCAAGGTAAGAGCTCTGGAGATGGATGGTGGTGATGGTCCTCAGTGATGTTCATGTACTTGATGCGATGGAGCTGTACACGTAGAGATTGTCGCCATGGCAAGACTTAGGTACATTTTGCCACAAGGAAGCATTTGAAGAAGGAAAACATGAGAGCCTGGCTCTGTGGCTTGTAGGTCTGGCATGGCTGAGAGAACCCACGATGCCAAACTAAAGGTATTGGGTTGAGTTCCTGTCTGGAGGCTCCAGAAAAAAATTGGCTTCTGAGCTTATTCATGTGTTGGGAGTTGTAGGACTGTGGTCCCCATTTCCTTGCTGACGGATGATGGTTACTTTCAGCTCCTAGGTCACTCTCATATCTTGTTCATGTACTCCCTCCCGGACCTGCACTCAGCAAGGTGTGTGGAATCTTCCTGTGTCCAGTCTCTGGGCTTCTCTTTTGACACCAGTGGGAGAAACTTGGCTCTTTCTTCCTTCCCTCTTTCCTCCCTCCTTCCCCCTCTTCCTCTGCCTCTGCCCTTCTTCTTCTGTCCTGGAGACAGACTCTAAGGCCTTCTGCATGCCAGGCAAGTGCTCTACCACTGATCTACACCCCATAACCACAAAGCTCTGCTTTAAAAAGCCTCAGTAGTTAGGTCAGCTCCACCAGGACAGTCTCTGTCCCTTAATTAAGGTCAACTGGTTTGGGACTTGAAATACATCTGCAAAATTCCTCACAGCAGTGCCTACATTTGTGTTTGATTGGATCCTAGGTGTGGGACACCTTGCGGGGAGTTTGGGAATGTGCCTGCCACGGGAAGTGTCCTTAGAATGGGAACTGAAGCGTCAATAGGACTCAGAAGTGTGAGGAGGAGCCTTGCGGATAGAGACCGCAGAAGAAGCAAAGGCTTGGGTGTGGGAAGGGGAGGAGCTGGCGGTGGTGAGAGCCCTGTAGGCGGGCAGGGTGTTCACAGGTGGGGTTCCCCGAGTGCTCATGTCAGCTGGGCATGAACCCAGAGGTGTTGACGCTTCCCACTGCGGAGGCGCTAACGGTGTTTTAGGACAGGAATGACAACCTGGGGTGGCTTAGGGAGAGAGGGGCTGGGCCACTTTGGGGGTGCTTTGGACCCGTGTAGTCTGGAAAAAGCAGAGACGTTCTCCTTTGCCCTGCTTGAGAAGAATGTGGTTCCTTTCCCCTTCGTTGCGTATTCTCCACTCATTGGATAGATAAGATGAAACAGTGATGAGCCAGGCCTGTCCTGAGTCCCAGGACACAGCGGTGAGAGATGGACTTCATCTGTCTCCTCTCTGAGGGACTCAGTCATGCAGAAAGGAAAAACAAAGCAAAGAGGAGACTCCTGTGCAAGGAAGGGAGCAAGGCAGTGACTGGGGACACATTGGGGGCCATGGGAGACTTAAGGAGGGCTCTTGACCCAAGTCCTGGTGAAAGGTAGACAAGAAGGAGCTGCTCATCCTGCCTGCTGTCCAGGGGCTCAGGAGATGGAAGAGTGACAGAGGCCCCAGGAAGGGTCTTCTGGGGATCTCACCTGGGCTCTGTCCCCTTTGCTCAGGGAGAAGCCTGGGCTGGTACTGGAGGAGCCAAGATCAGTGCCAAGGCAGGAGGAAGTACAAAATTGTTTGATCTGAGTCTGGCCCCTGGAAAAGAGCTAAGTGTCTTTCTGTTGGCAGCTGCAGCAAAGGTACAATCATTAGAAGGTGGCATTTTGCATTAAAATTGTCCCCATCAGCCAGTGACATTTTCTTGTTCCTTCTGGTCAGGAGACCTTTTAATGCCACAGATTCAAATGACTCAAGCATCAGAAGTTCTTTCCCTCTGGGAGAGAAACCCAGTCTAGTCATCCTGGGGTGGATCCGCACATTAGCTGGGGTTAAAAAAGCAGATAATCCAGTGGGCACAGCAAAGTCCCAGGGCTGTGCATGAGGACACAGAGGAAAAAAATACACAACCGTGTTTTGTGCAACTGAACTATTTTGTGTCTATGAGGATGACGAGTCTGGGTAATGAGCTTAGTAGGTTGGGCTTTGAAGGTGTATTCATGGTTGTGGAGAGAAAGAGTTGCACGTAAATGTGTGTGTGAGTGTGTGCACCAAGGAGAGAAGTGCGCAGGTATGCACACGTGTGTGCAGGCAGGTACCCATTTGTGAGCTCCCAACCCATAGTGCTACAACTGGACAGGACACCTGGAGACCCTTCAAGGGGCACCATGCATGCCTGGTTCTCAAGCCCCAAACCCAGGAGTCCTCCTTCCTCCTGTCCTTGAGTTCAGTGCATCCCTTTCAGATAGGCCTTCTTTGACTGCTTGAGTCGAAACAGCTCCCCTGTCCCCTGTTATGGTTTGGATGTGAGGTAGACCCCAAAGACTCACGCGAGAAGGTTCAGAGAAGAAATGATTGGGTTACTACGAGAGCCTTAACCCAACCAGTGAATTAATCACCTGATGGTATTGAGTGGTAATTGAAGGCAGGTGGGGTGTGGCTGGGGGAGGTGGGGCATTGGAGGTGTGGCTTTGGGGGTATATATTTGCATCAGTTGTGTGGAGCCTCTCTCTCTCTCTGTTTTCTGATTGTCATGTGAGCTGCTCCCTCTGCCACAGTCTTCTACCATGATGTCCTGCCTCACCTGGAAGCCAGAGGAGTGGAGCTGAGACCTCTGAAACCATGAGCCCCTGAATAAACTCTTCCTCCTCTACCAGTTGTTCTAGTTGGGTCTTTTAATTGTAGCTGCAAAACAAGCTGACTAAAACACCCCTTCACGCGTATTCTCCATCCCAGCCCAAGCCTCCCATGCATTATCTCTATGGGAAATTATATGCTACGAGTTTGTTTATGTGAATAGGATCCTTTCAATTCCTGTAGAATGCTGTGCCCTGAGAGCAGAACCATCTTTCTCAATCACTTCTGTATACTGTTGGCACTCAGTAAGTGACTGATGAGCCACTTGTGTCTTTGTGCTGCTCCAGGGTGATGCAGGTCTTGGGGGATAGGGTATTGCTTCAGTGCTGTGGGCACCACGATACAGAACAAGTGAGCTTGAGGGTGTGAGCTCCCGGTCATAGCATTCAGATACCGAATGAACACCACTAGCCGTCCTCACCTACAGGAAACCTCCCAGTGCCATACTGTGGGATACAATCCTCAAGGACTGGTCCCATTGTTCCTCCCCAGCCTCACTGTTTTCTAATTATGGCCTGTTCTTTAGACTCCCTGTCTGCATGTGCATGCGCCTTTAATGTGGCCTGCAAGGCCATTCCCTTCCTCTTTCATTTTATTATTATTATTATTATTATTGTGATGCTAGAGGTAGAACCCAGAGCCTTGTGCATACTAGGCAAGAACTCTACCACTGAGCTACATCCCCAGCCCCTCCTTCCTCTTATCCTTCCAGGCCGTACTTGACTATTTATGGTTTTCAAAGTCAGGTTTGACTCCCCAGACAAAACCCAGACCTCCTTCCTCCCTGATTCTGGGGGCCTGTTTTGTGTGCCTGGTTGTAGATCTGACAGCTCTGGTTATATATATATGTCCTTGTGTGTTTCCTGTAACAGACCCAAACCTCTCAGAGGCAATGCTGGAAGGTCTGGCTTGGGGGTGCCATGGCTCCTAAGAGGTGCTTGAAGGTTGTTGGCATGTGATGGGAGGTCTGGCAGGAAGGTGAAGGATATGGCTTTGATAGTAGGCTCTTTTGCTTCTGGACCATTCCCCTCATCCCCTCTGAGTTTGTAGCCAACAGAGGTCTGTCCTTTCTGGTGACTCCTGTACTCGGCTCCAGGGCCTCTGGCTTTCCTAGGAAAAGATGCCAAGTGGCTGACTTGTCCAAGCCTAAGGGGAGCCCAAGAGGCAGCTCAGGATATTGGCCAGGGGTCACAACTCGTGGGGCACCTTCTGCAAGCCTGGCTTACGAGGAAGAGGGACTTGGAACACAGACCGCTAGGGAAGCTTAGGAGACTGCTCCCTCCAGATGGATGGTTCTGGGAAGATTCTCCCAACCCCGAAAGACCAGAAATGGCTGAGAATGGAAAGCATGAGCCCAGAAGAACCCCCCCCCCGCCGCCAAATACATATTTCATCTGAGATGCAGAGCACAGATGCAGGAGTGAGGGGGGGGTGTCTTAGTGGGTTGCCCTGGGTTAACCCATACTGAGCATTTGGGCAGCTCAGGCCACTTGAAGAAGGATGCCTTCCTTGGGGCAAGATGGGCTCTTGGGCTGCACGTCTAAGCCAAGAAGGCTGGAGGGATGCGTGGGATAGCACCTTGAACTTGAAGTCAGAAGCTATGGAGTCCAGGCTGCCTCTGCTAGTCCTAAGTACCCAATTTTGGGCACTGAAGCCTCAGTTTTTTCATCTGCAAAAGGAGATCACAGGTTTTAAGCACTGTTTTGTGCACTATCTCATTTAATCTTTATGACATCTCTGGGAGGAACATACTATTCCTATTTCCCACTTCTCAGATGAAGAAACTGAGGCTTAAGCTAACCAATTTCTACCCAGCTGCACAGTTAGCCAGTGCTGGGGTCTGAACCTGAGCTCTGTCTAACTATGAAGCCCATGTTCTCAGCTCCTGGCCATGAAGCCTAGAAATCCCTGCCAGGTCTAGTTCTGAGGATCACTGTGAAGATCTAAAGGAACAACGACTGACCACACAGTTGAGGGGCTCAGCATGGAGCAGGCGGACCACCGGGCTGTGTGGCCTGGGGCTCGGGCTGTCTGCTTCTCCCTGGCAGGCTTCCCTCCTCCTCCTGGCTCTTTCTGGGCCAACCCTGGGAGCGGGTGCAGGCTGGTGCCCTCTCTGCCTGCTTCTGCTGCTGCTAAACTTTACACTGGGCTCTGTCATTAGCCCAACAACAAGCTCCCTGTTTGACTAGCCCTGTC